CAGAACTGATCCTACTGAGTCAGTGGCAACGGCAGCAATAGATCAGATTGATAAAGAAAATACGAACAAGGATGGTAACAACAGCAGCTGTAGCTTGCTCCATGGGCGAGCAGATCAGGGAGTGCGTCCTATGTCACGTAAACGACTGACAGATTCACTGAAGAAAGTAGAAATACGTGTGAAGAGTCAAAAACTGCTTCGTGACTTCGAGCACCTTAGACTATAATGATGCTAGGAGCAGACGTGGAAAGCACCCACCGCATCGCATTTTTAAAACAAACGGCCCTTTTCAGGGCCACAATATGATTCGTCGACAAACATTTGTTTATATGACAGTTTTTATTTAACAGATGTAGTTAAAAACGTAACCAACTTATTGGGAGCTAAGAACCCATTATCAAATCTTCGAAATAATTTTGTATAATTTTATTTTTTGAGTTTTCTTTGAATCTCTAACATTTTAAAATTTGGTTCGGAAAATTATATTAGTAAATGTAGAAGAAAAATATTGTACAACTAATAACAGTGTAAAAGTTTTATATGTCGACTCTGCTCTCAGAGAAGACCGGAGTTTCTTTAGTCGTGCGTACATGCGACAGGTCACGTAGGTCGTATACGATGGCTTAGCTGACGTAAAGCTTGAACCCGGTGTGACGACAAAAGCGCGCATCGTCTCCTTGGTTGGGTTTCTAACACAGCACGATATTTAAGTACAACATAAAATTGAGTAGTACTACAATATTCGGACGTAAAGAAGTGTATAATCCTTAAAGTTGTATTGAATCATAGAAATGTTATCCCAGTCATCAGAACTGAACCTACTGAGTCAGTGGCGGCGGCAATATTTAATCAGATAATTATAAAGAAAATAATGGACATAGACGGTTGCGCTCATGGAGCAGCTTATAAAATTGTGCAAGGTATTTTGAGTATTTAATTAAAACCGTAATGATAAATTATAATAATAAAAATATAAATTTAAAAAAATAAAATGAGCCTTTATTGCTGTTTAAACTTACTAACATTAAGATCAATTGGCTTACTGCCTACACTTTACAAATGTTTTATCTTACTTTATATCTTCTTATATCGGCGTTCGGTTCAAAAACAGCTTGTCTTTCGACATAGGCCTCCTCTAAAGATTTCCATTTCTCTCTGTCTTTTGCTACTCGAATCCATTCTGCTGGACCAGCCACCTTTTTTATGTCGTCCTCCCGTCGTTTAGTTTGTCACCCTTTGCTTTTTTTACCATCTCTTGGGTACCATTCCATTTCCAACTTACCTGCAGGCTGACTATTTCTACTTAATAAACGTAAGAAACCAAGTTTTGTTATTTTATTGTATTGTCATTTTTATTTGTGAGCTATGAATTCGATCCTATAGATATGTGATATAATTGAAGTGAAAATTCATTTCGAAAAAATATTTTAAGGTGATAATTATTTAACACAAATCCGTGTAATCCCTCTGACGCCTGCCACCCCCAACACATTACACACAATTTTATTTAGGTAAACATAAAAGCATGTTATATTTATAAATAAATAAATTAAATACCAACAGTACAGTATAGTCCATTAACAGATCTATTTCAATCAAAGCCTATTGATACCGGTCACCAAGCGGATATTATATGCACAGATTTCAACAAGGCGTTTGACAGTGTTTCACATAAAAACTTACTGAATAAGTTGAGAACCTATGGATTTACATGACCTTTGTTGAAGATTATTATGTTGTCGTCAACGGCAATAAATCAGCATTATAGAATGCATGTTATGGTGTTCTACAAAGTCACAACTGGGTCTAAGTTTGTTTGTTCAGTTTATAAACGATATTTTGGTATTTGGAGCATATATTCAGTTGTGGTGACGACTAGGGATAATACTACATAATCGGCGTTATACGGATATGGAATAAGAGATTAAGGATAAGGATTTTATTTTCTTAGTAACCAAGTAGATAAGCATTGTTTCTTATCATTGGTGTTGTTCTTCTTCTTTGGTATTGTCAAGCTTCAAACTCGTGAGCTTGGTGAACTCGTGATTGGTCGTTGAATTTTTGTGAAGTATTTACTGAGAAGACCTTGTTCGGTTTGGTCCTACGATTATAAAGCACTAATCTTCTTTTGTTAAAATATTAGAAGTTATAATATTTTCTATGTCAGTGGTAAATATTGTTTAAGAAACAAGAACGATTACTATTAAAAGTAATTGAAATGTAAAATAATAACTAACTTTTTAAATTAGTGAACTTCATTTTATTTATTCAAGAATTTTTAAGAAACAAGAACGTTTCGTTTAACCAATAATGAAAATGTAAAAATAAAATTATTAACTAACTTTTTAAATGAACGATGTTGAATTAATGAATGAACTTCATTTCATTCATTCAACTTTACGTCAGCTCAGTAATCGTAAGCGGTTTACATGGCCTGCTGCACGTACGCACGACGATGCGACTTTTCGAGTGCGGCGATGGCGATAAGGCACTCCAGAGTCCTTCGAGAGCAGAGTCCACATATATAATTCTTTTAGGGCCGATTTTTCAATCATCAGTTAATTCTTAACTGTAGCATAAAATTGACATGTGACAGTTTTTAGTGTGGAAGAATTGTAAAATATTGAAAGTTATTCCTCAGTTGAAATTTATCTGAGCATTGAAAAATTGGCCCTTACTAATGTTGTCATTTGTCAAAGAAATAATTACTTTTATTACTGTAGATACAGTTCATCTTTCAATTGGAATAACTTAGCTATAGAGGCTGTCATTACCAACTATCTTAACCACGATATTGCTGAAAAATTAGCTGCAGTTGCTTGGGACACTTTCGATGATATTCGTCGTATGTGATCCGTCCTTCACTACAGGTACTAGTAGTAGCAACACAGGATTCATCACCAGCTTGACTTCTGATTATTTGTTTCTTCTTAACAATTCTTTTGACTGGTGGCAATGCTGGCACCGCGAATGTGTGTTCTTTTGGTACCTCTTTAGAGATAATTGAGCACATCTCTGGTTGGTCTGAAGCTGCCGAATCCATCTTGATATATTTGTAAAAAATAAACAATTTAATTCTTTAGCGCACCCGGCTCAAATACTGTGCAACGGTATCACACAATAACAAATGTCCGACTACCGATAGACGACTGTTCGTGTCGACGACAGGACAGGCACTGACTCCTTGGAAAATGGAATTTGACTCATTCAACTATTGTAACTTCTCCCCTCTCTAAATATTATTTCTTGGGCGTTGTCAAGCATCAAGCTCGTGCGCTGATTGGTCGGTAACTATTTGTAAAATATCTACTGATTAGAGAGACTTTGGTTTTTATCCCACGCTAACAATGCACTTGTCTTCTATTGTTTAAGTGGATTTACTTTCTCTTTGTAAAATGTTAATATTGTTGTGAAAACACAAATATTTAACCCTATTTTCGTTAACAAATTATTTTTAACCAAATTTATTGTCATGAATGGAATCAAGAATATTTGACTTTTTTAAATAAGATACATACCTAATTATACTGATTGCCACTGAATAGAAATAATTGAACAAATAAACACAAAATCACGCTTAGAAGCTTTCCGGTGGAAACCGAACGGACTAATGATTTCCTGAATTAATTTATTTGACCTGAAATTAACTTAATTATGACCAATGTGACAAGCAATTGTCGCATAAACTAAAAAATAAAAGATATCAATATCTTGTATGAACTACTATCCTGTACCGACGCGACGGGTCTTTATGCTATATTGCGAATCAAGTAAGACAATATTTTTTGTATTTTAAACCGTTTCAATGAGCTCTATTCTGTCAATCAAGCTCTTTGGTATCGATATCCACAGTGGAGGTAGTGGCGAAAAATAGATTACATTGTATGCTCATCAAGATTTATATTATCAAAAACGTTGCCATACACGAAATCAAATTAAGTGAACAAATGAAAGTCGATTCAACCGATCTCGAGATGATAGCAGACAAACATACATCCGTAATCAAAATATTGGATGGATAATGGTTACTATTAGATTTACAGAGGTGACGGTTGTGTATATAAAACTATACTATTATATAGACCTGTATGCACCATATACTAAGAATGGAATTATACTAATTCATTCATTCATAAAATTTAAAAAAAAAATGTGCATTGTCACTTTTTTGTTAATTTCAATTTCATTAACAATATTATAATTAACTTACTAAAATATTTACACCTTAAAAAATAATAATAATGAAAAAATAATAATACCTAATGAAAAAATAATAATAATGAAAAAAAATAAATAAATATATTTTAGAATTTATTAACTAATTATAAACTTAAACAAGAAAAAAAAAAAAAAACTTACTAAATGAAGTTGATCATGTTAGGTTGCTCATACAGTTAATAAAATGTTATGTATAGTGAACTCATCTAATTCTGTGACTCGCCTAATAATTCGGTTTAGTAAATTTGGTAGAACTCTTAGGTTTCTAGAAAAAAATCTGATTATTTGTGCTAATATTCCTCATAAAAGACTGATTAAAACTTATGCGGAGACTGAATTAAATTAATTAATAATTTATTGGTATTTTATTACTCAAATGCCTTTGTCACGAAGTTAGATGAGTTCACCCTATGTTCATTTTTCATAGTCTAGATCAAGTATTTATTTTAAATAACGTAAGGAAACGTAAAAAATATGTATGTAGATAATATGTTGCTCATACTATATTTTGTCAGAGATACCGTCCGATATTTTTTGTTTATTAATAGTAAGCTCCTAGGCTTGTGTCGGTTTGTTACGTTTTTGACCACATCTGTTAGATAGAAACTGTCATATAAACTGATGTTTATCGACGAATCATATTTTGGCCCTGAAAAGGGCCTTTTGTTTTAAAAATGCGATGCACTTGGAGTTCTTGATGCAACTCCTCTGCTATGAGTGAAGGACGCTCTCCACGACCTGCATTGTGCACCACTTTTGTTGTCTACTTACGTCAATTCTATTTATGCCCCTCGCCGTGGGTGGGGCATTAGAGGCGAGGCATTTGCAGCATTGGGTGCTACTAAATTCCCTTTTGACTGGGGAGTTGGTTTAGTCGGTATGGCAGAGGTATGCCGTATTCCACGTCCTACTTCAGCTCCTCGATTGCTAGGGCCAGCATTTCCAACACGGGACGCAATGTGGCTATTACTTTCATTTGCTATTAGTTGCATGGCCCCTTCATACGCCATGTCAACTTCGTTTTGCATGTCCGTTTTGCGTTTAGATCGACCTTTTCCTCTGTTGATACCGTCTTCATCAAGGATCCTTAAAAGATCCATTGCTCCCTCGTATGCCATGTCCAATTCCTTCAGTCTTTCTCCGCTGGGAAACAGAAGTAAAGGATTAGAATTAGTATTTGTGGTACGGCATTTGTGGTTCACTTTTGGTACGGTATTCGTAATTTTTCCATTCGAAGGTTTACTTTTAGTGACACCTTTCAAATGGTTCTTTACTTCAGATGTATTTCTGCGTCCTTCCGTGCGGCTATTTTTTATTCTATCTCGGTTTTCTCTCGAGATGCGATCGGTATTTCCATTTTCCTTCAATTGATGTCCAGTATTCTTGTTAGACATAATGATATTTCAAAATGATTTTTATCTAAAATAATATTTTTAAGTAATGTTCCACGAGCGACGGACGACTGTTCGTGTCAACGACTAGTCAAGCAATGACTCTTCGGCAACTACGATTTAACAAAGCTAAACATTGGTGTAGGGAGAGCTACCTGCCACAGATAATGCGTGGTAATTTACAACTTACGTAGTACAACCTACCGTGGGACCCATAAAATAACACGTGTCATTTCAAAATGACTTTGATCCTTTATTGTTTTGAGTATTAATAGCATTGTATTATTTATGTAATGAGTCCCGTGTAATAGGGGGTGAGTATATTTTAATAATTAGTTAGTAGTAATTACTCAATAAAGAGTATAAAATCGAATTGGGGAGAATAGGTATCGATCAGCAGCATATACTTATATAGTTTATTAATTATCTTTTGGTAATGAGTTTAAAATTACTCAGATTATGACATTTGCGATAAGGACATCATCATCATCAGCCTGTTTTCGTTCACTGCTGGACATAAGCCTCTCCGATGGCACGCCACTGAACTCGATTTTCAGCTCTACGCATCCAACCACTGCCAGCTACTTTGCGGATATCGTCCCTGCACCTAGCTGGAGGGCGCCCCTCCACATTACGTTTGCCTAGACGCAGTCTTAAGGACATTATCGCTAGGATACCTGGGTTATTAGTACCTAAATAAATACAATTAATAACATCATCACGCCTTTTATCCCCGAAGGGGTAGGCAGAGGTGCAAATTATACCACTGTACAATGTAACACCCACTTTTCACTATTTATGTTATGAGTCCCATGTAATAGGGGGTGAGCCTATTGCCATATACCGGGCACAATTCCAAACTCCGTGCTACTACTGAGATTTTTTAAAAACCCAGTAATACTTTGCCCGACCCGGGAATCGAACCCGAGACCCCTTGCCTGGCAGTCGCACTTGCGACCACTCGGCCAACGAGTCAGTTAAATACAATTAATTTCTAATAATTAAATAAGTTGTCATGTGTACTTCATTAAATCCTAGCCTTTTACTAACGACATAATATACTAATGCTACAATGAAAGGAATCAAATATGAAATGAAATTAGTTAATTGTTTTATCCATAGTATATTTTTACCGGCTTCAAAAAAAGAGTTTCAAAAAATTTCGCGAAGGACACACCGGGCGTCGGGGATCGCGGGACGATCTCCGGCCACCGTAAGCGCGGGACTGCGGACGGCGAGCATGGGTGGCTCCCCGTCCGACCAGAAACAGACCCGAGCGTACGGCGCGTAGCGTGCGCGCGCCTAAAAGAGCCATCAGACCACCACAGATGGGGCCCAATAGGGCCGATGCCGATTCGGAGTCGCGGAGAACCTAACGGGTAACCGGGGCTCCGGCTCGACGTGCAGGAGAAGGAACGGGGTGGTTTTTAGTCAGTAAGAGTCTCACACTCCCTTCCGCCTCACCCAGGCGGGAGCAATCATGCGATGATTTTCCCCCGTTAAAAAAAAGTTTACCTATATGTATGTTTGTATGTATGTAGGGATGTCTACTATAATTTTAGTTTAAGTAAAGTAAAGTGGTGTGCATATACCTCTAAGTAACAAAAGAATTAAATTCATGTTCTTGTTATGACTAGTGCATTTTCTGTGGAAAAAAATACCATAAAAATCATAAAATCAAAGAGAATCTTGTTTAAGTACCACAAAACATTAATTTCTTTGGCATTGTCAAGCTTCAATATCGTTTACTTTTTCGAAGCATCTACTGATAAGGCTTTGATTTATTGTCCCACTCTTACAAAGCACTAGTCCTTTATTGTTTAAGTATTAAAAGTTATAACCCCCAATAAGCTGGTTACGTTTTTGACTACATCTGTTACATAGAAACTGTGACGAATCATATTGTGGCCCTGAAAAGGGCCTTTTGTTTTAAGATAGATCCTTAGATCGCGTCTAAAATAGAGTTTTAACTCTGAGTGCGCCTCACTTTAATGTAAGCTAGGAAGTCTTCCTGCAGTTTTTTGGGACACTTCCGACGATATTCTTCGTATGTAAGCCGCCCTTCACCACAGGTACTAGTAGTGGCACCACGGGATTCCTCACAAGCTTGACTCCTGTTTATTCGTTTTTGTCTTACGTTTCTCTTGATTGGTGGCAGTGCTGGTACCGTGAATATGTGGGTCTTTTGGTGACTCCAACACTTTAGAGATAATTGAGCACATCTCTGGTTGGTCTGAAGTAGCTGAATTCATCATGATATTTATAAAAACTTATAAAATGCAATTCACGTTATTCTGATGATTGAGATAACATTTCTATGATTCAATGAATCAAAATAATTGATCATGATGGTATTAAGTTCCATGCGCTGCTAACATCGCTCGCTAAGTGTTTTAGTAATACCACAATTCATCACCACGCGACCTGTCGCACGTACGACGACGTCTCGAGTGCGGCGGTGGGGACAAGGCACTCAAACTCCAGTGTCCTTCGAGAGCAGAGTCGAAATGTCAAATTTTGTAACTAATATTATCAATTTGCAAATAAATAATTACTTGTAATACCGTATATAACTACAGTCTTTCTTTCGTTTATAACAACTGAAATGTAGAGACTGTAATTACCAACTACCTTAACCACGAAACTGTCGATTCGCACGTACTGCGGTTGTAAAACATGAAACCACCCGCGATATATTCAACCTTAACTCCTAAGACAGAGTACTTTATGAATTAGGTACAGTTTGTAACCGTAGTCAAGGTGAAAAATTTGTTGCTGTAAAAAACCACAAGTACAGTTGCTTATATCAGTTTTTTTGTTTCATAAACACAAGCAGTTAAAACTACTGCGGTTCAGCCCATGAGTAAACCGAAGGATTAAGCCGCGACGGTCAACAATCTGTCACTGAAATAACTGACTGATCAGTCAGAAAGATTTTATACGGAGCCTAAATTATAATTCTACAAAACAAAACTAGACGAAAATGTTAGAGATTAGCGCATAAACTAAAATTATGCAAAACTAAAATAATATTTAATAATAGGTTAGTTAGCTCCAAGGTAAGTTAATTCCGTTTTTGACCACATCTGTTAAATATAAACTACTGTTTATCGACGAATCATATTGTGGCCCTGAAAAGGGTCTTTCGTTTTAGAAATGCGATGCGACGCGTGGCTCTTGCACGCGTGCTCACTGATGACTCCAGCACTGAGTACTTCCACAGGATCCACCTACGGCGTGTCTTCTTTCTTCTTCGTCTTCTTTTTTCTTGGTTTCTAGATACGCCAATATTATCGCATCCATTGTTTGTTCCGACAACATCATTTCTTCAGACGATGCTGAACACCACTCATTTATATTGCCTGTGTCCTCCGATTTGAAATGCCGATCAAAGCGCTCAACAGGTCCTGTCTGTACTGGTAGTACAGGTACAGAGACCATGCTTTTATGCCTTGAAAATTTCTTTGGTTTCGATATGTGGCCACTGTTTCTCCCCAGTAATCCACTATTCTTGTTGCCAATTATTCCACAGCTGCGTCCAGGTTTCCCAGTTTTACTGAAATCGTGTCCAGTACCGCTGTTTTCCATGTTGATGATGATGTTCGACAAACTCTTCATTTTAGTTAAAACGGAAGAACCAATGTCTCAGGTACACACTTTACAATATATTTGTAACTCGTAATGATCGACTAGCGACTGGCGACTGGTCGTGTCAACTGCAAGTCAAGCACTGACGCCTCGGGAACTGTGACTTGGTTCGCCAACTTTGACAAAGATAAAAATTGGAGTGGGGAGAGCCATTGTCAAGCAAACGGGTCAGGTATTTTACCAGTTACTCATATAGCCGTAAAAACCATAAAATAACACATTTAAATATAATTTTGTTTCTATCTCTCTCTTCTATTGTTTAACTCTTTATTGTTTTGAGTTTAAGCTTTCCAGTCTCTGAGTAACAAGTAATGAATTATTGTCTTGACTATTCGAATATTTAGACAATTTTGTTACCGACAGTTGAATTAAAATATTTTGATTATGGATGTATGTTTGTCTGCTATCATCTCGAGATCGGTTGAATCGACTTTCATTTCTTCATTTAATTTGATTTCGTTTATGGCAACGTTTTTGATAAAATAAATCTTGATGAGCATACAGTGTAATCTATTTTTTCACCACTACCTCCATTGTGGATATCATACGAAAGAGCTTGATTGACAGAATAGAGCTCATTGAAACGGTTTCAAATACAAAAAATATTGTCTTACTTGTTTCGCAATGTAGCATAAAGACCCATCGCGTCGGTACAGGACAGTAGTTCATACAAGAGATTGATATATTTTACTCTTTAGTTTATGCGGCAATTATTGCGGCATATCCCGTTGGTCTTATTTATTTAATTTCGGTTATTTTCGAATAAATATATTAATTATTAATATTATATATAAATAATATATAATAAAAATTTCGAATAAATAAATTAATAAAAAAATAAATTATTTCGGGAAATCATTAATTGAGACATCGTTTGTTAATTTGATCAGTTTATAATGTATTGTTTAAGCTTCATAGATTGATTTCATGCAACTTTTTTTAAAATTATTTCTATTCAATGGCAATCAGTATAATTATGTATCATATTTTAAAAAAGTAAATTTTTCTTGATTCCATTCGTGACATTAAAATTAATATAAATAATTTGTCAACGAAAATGGCTAAATATTTGTGTTCTCACAACAATATTGGCATTTTTAAAAGAAAAAGTAAATCTACTTAAACAATAGAAGATAAGTGCATTGTTAGCGTGGGATAATAACCAAAGTCTTATCAGTAGATATTTCACAAATAGTTACCGACCAATCAGCGCACGAGCTTGATGCTTGACAACGCCCAAGAAATAATATTTAGGGAGGGGAGAAGTTACAATAGTTGAATGAGTCAAATTCCACTTGCCAAGGAGCCAGTGCCTGTCCTGTCGTCGACACGAACAGTCGTCTATCGCTAGTCGG